AATCCGATTGAACCACACAAATCTGATTTAAATTGGATTGGTTTGGTTATCATATAATAATTAATTAGATTGATTTAAAAATGTTACTAATTGATTAAATTATATTAATTTTAAAAATATTAAAATTCAAATCAAATTACACCAGGAACACCCCTATTGATTATATAGAAAAATTTGATTTGGACTTCCGAGCCTTGCTGCCGCACATGATTAGGAGGTAACAAAACACATCTCCTTCCATTTAATTCCTCTAATCCTATGTAAATTTTGAGAACTGAAGACTCTTTCTTTTTGCTTTTTTTACCCCCACAATTTGTAGTAATTGTTTTGGCTTTACTTTTAAGAAATAATGCTCAAATGCTTTATCACTCTACTATGGGATGGGTTCATGCTGTTGTTCAAAATGTCGTCTGCATGAAACGAAATGATATTCTAGAGTAGTTTTCCATGAATTTGTTTTACAGTCAAAGCAAACAGGTTAATATTGGTCTATTGAGAGGAAAAAGAGAAGACTAGATTAGTAGAAGTATTTAGAAAGCTTAATAATAATTTTAATAATTTTATTGTTATTTATGTATACTTCTCTTTTGTAGACAAATTAAATGATAGAAAAAGAGATCCCAAGGGGTGGCTCAACTAGTTAATTAAAAGTTTGAGATTTCAAATTGAAGAATTCAAGTTTGAATTTTGAGTTAAATAAGGAATAATTTTAAAAAAGAAGATGAATATTTTCATTTATATAACCTATTAATAAAAGTATCAAAAAAAGAAGTGATAGCAGAAAAAGAGGCATTAAATGAAAATGAACATTGATTGCACAACTTGAGCAGCAAAATCAGTGAAAAAGGAAACATAGGAGAGTGTAAATAAATAAGGAAGAAGGTAACAAAAAGGACCTTCAGAATTGATAAATGATTTTATTCTATGATAAAAATCTGGTGCTTAAGCTTTACTTGTGCAAATTCTATATCACCATCATCATTAGATGATTTCTGACTGCAAGCTATATCTTCTGCAATAGGTTCTTATGTTCCATTCTTAAGAGGAAAAAAATCTAAAGCTACTTTCATTGTTGTGGCCATAGCTATATGGGGGTAAATTAGGAGTTGATTTTTGACTAACAAGACTACCATGAAAAGTTGACTATATATATATGATTATTAAAACAAGGATAAACTGATGTACTTGATTATTTTGGAAAATGTGGATATAACCACTTATTTTACTTCATAATTGGCTATATTATCCAGCAAGCAGGGACAAAGCTTAACAAAAATTATAAGAGGGGCCAATTAACTAAACAAAATTTTTGGAGGGACAAATGTACATATTAAAAACTCTTAAGGGTCTTAAAAATATTTTAGGGGCACGGCCCTCCCCCACCCTTATTGTCCTCCATCTCTACAAGAAAAGATTACATTACTGCATTTTTTAACCAAAAAGTGTTTTTATTCTTTTTAACTATTTATATAGCTAATGAAATGCATTTTATATATTTTAACTTCTTATTTTAGCTTTGATTTTATTAATATTTGAATAGATAAAAGGGGTTCTGCCAGAAAAAAAAAAAAAAAAGAATGGGTAGAATGTGTTTTGTTATTGATTTTAATATAATTTTCAATTTTTGTGCAGAAAAGACTTGAATGTATAATAATAGAAGTTTATGGACTTGAATGAATATCTTATATGAAAGTTGAATGATTATATTGCCAGAAGAAACGAAGCAATCAGAGACCGAAATTAATGAATTCGAAGTTATGGTATCAAAGTAATCATAGTGTAGAAGGTAAAGGACCATCTAAATTGTTATTTAACCATTGAAGAAATTGCGAAAGGATAATGAAAACCAGCACGGGTATTGTGTCGATACCCCCTTTGGAAACCATGCGTAGAAGTGCATCGACACTATGCGTCAAGATTTTGGCGATCGTATGCTTGGGAAACTTGAAGTAGAAGTGTCGACAACTACATGTAGTGTCGATACTAGAAGCAGTATGTAGCTTTAAAATTTTTCATTTTGGACATTGAGTATTTTTTCTTTTTTAATAAGGTTTTCTTGTAAATACTCATTCAAGTCCAAATTTTAGGGTCTTTTGTGAGACCGAGAGAGAAATAGTAACAAGAAACTCAATATTAAAAAAAAGTTAAAATTTGAGATTTTATATTATTAAATTAGTTTTATTTGTCTTTAAATCTATAATGTTAAATATTCATATATTTATCATGAAATATTTAATTTTTTTTTGTTATGAATTAATTTAAATATTTAAGGTTATAATATAACTTAATCAATTTAATATAAAATTTTATGATTCTTATGTGTTTAGGATTTATTGTCTTACGTAAAGTATATATTATTATTTTTAATATATTTTTTTAATAATTAACCACCGTTAAAATTGATTTAAGGAGTATAATTGAAATTGAGAGAAGATTTTAATTATGCAATAGCTTCTAGTAATAAATATAGTGAATTGAACAAAAGTCAAAGATAAATAAATGTGATTCATGTAGCATTAATAATGAGTGGAGTTGAAAATTTCTATGTAAGTTAGTGAGTTTTATAGAGCATAATATATTTTTATTTATTTAAATTCACATATAGATATAATAAATTAATGGATTGGAATAGATTTGATATAATATGAGAAAATATATCAAATAAGTTAGGAAAATCTTTTATCACATAAATAATAAATACTTTGAAATTTTTTTAATTTGAGTTATTAGTCAAATATGATGTAATCATATATCTTTGAATCTCAAATCTTAGTGTTCTTAGTGTTACTTAAATCAATTTATTTTTTTATTAGTTTAATTAATTACTTTACTCAAATCTTTAAATTCACTTATTCTAATAAAATTATAATTAGTTAAGTTTAATATTAATTAATCTACAATTATTGTGAAACCATACTTAATTCTCATCATTATATTTCCTAAACCAAATGTAGAGATGATCGAAGCAAATGTGAAGCTTAATAAAACTAGGCATGAAGTTTTGGGAATACACCGAGCTACCACCTACGGATCCTTTAAAAAGAAGAAAGAAGAGAACTCGGAAAATCTCTTTTTATGAATTCTTTAAGTAGTTTAGGTGAAAAGAAAAAATTTAAGAGGCAACTTTTTGTATAATTTTTTTAAATTTGTTTATAATTTTACCTATTATT